GCGAGTCAACGAATGTATCCGCCCAGGTCACGTCACGTCAGCGTCACCGTCACGTCAGTGAGCGCGAGTCAACGAATGTATCTTCCCAGGTCACGTCACGTCACCGTCACGTCAGCGTCGCGTCAGACCAAGCCTGTTAGTCCTTCGTCGAAGTCACCGTCACGTCACCGTCACGTCGTGCGACCCATCCGTGGACCATACTCAGATCGGCCAGCCCTTGGGGAATTGGGGGCACTTTGAAGGTTGGTGGACACACGCTGCATTATTTTTCAAGTTCCATACCGGAGGGCGCGCTGAGCAGGTTTAAAGCTCAGACAGGCCTCTCAAAGTATAATACACTTTGGGAGGGCCTTGCGCTGTTGGTTGCCTTCCGGCTTTGGCTGCCAAGCCTGGGGCATGGCGCCGCAGTGCGTGCCAAGTCCGACAACCTAGGTGTCCTTTGTATGCTTGCCAAGGGAGGAGCCAAATCCCCCCAATTGAATTCTTTGGCTCGGGAATTCGCCCTGGACCAAGCTTTGAAAGCATACAGGCTGCATTGGCTTGAACACATCCCCGGGGTCACTAATTTAGAGGCTGACGCTCTGTCCCGGCAGACGGCGCCCAACCCCGTGGCATTTCCAGAGCATTTGAAACAGGCCACACGATCAGACGTGAGTGTAGGCCCGGACTTCTGGAAGGTGGAACTTCACTAAGCCGGCAGCAGTTGTGAGCGAAAAGATGGAAGAGGGAGCCGGGTAGAGGCACCAGACTTATTACAACCAAACGGGCGTACTAAACGGGCGCTGTGTGTGTGTACACCGTCGCAGCATGCCTTTCAAGCGCTCACTGCATGGACGCCACCCAGCATGGGTGGCAAATACCAGGCCCAAAGCAGGCTTGCTCCATGAGGGCTTCGCGCTGCCTGTCCGCTCCACCGTCCAATTCGAGGGGAGAGACAGGCCAGGCCCGACGCGGCCCCGACCCAACGATCCTCCGGACCGGGAGGTGGGGACAGGCGAACCAAAACCTTATGGGAGAGGCTCGGCCGAAGCAGCCCTATGTGCGGCGCAAGACCCGCATCACTGTCGGCTAGTTCTTGCCAGGGATGCGTCCGCAGCTTCTACAAAGGGGCCCACAGCATCCCGTCAGAAGCTGTGGGAAAACCTGGCGAGGACGGCCGGATGGACCGACCCATTCCGCTTGGACCCTACCATGATATACACTGTCATGGGGGCTCTCAAAGTTGGAGGGTATCGGTCTGCGCAACTGTACCTCGATGCAGCTAAGCAATGTCACATTTCGCTCGGACTAGCCTGGGATAGCCAGCTTCAACAAGCCTACCGGGCGGCGGTCCGCAGCTGTCAACGCGGGATTGGGCATGCAAAGCAAGCGTCGGGGTTACCACTTGACAAAGTGGCAGACTTGCCTCGGTGGGAACAGCTGGTCCCCGGCGGCCCCAGCCAACCCGTGACCGCCACCTTGCTCACGTCCTGGTGGCTCTTGAGAGAGATCGAAGCCTCACGAGCTCGACGAAAACACATCAGCCTCAACGAGGACGAGCAGAAGGTCACCTGGCGACTCCCGAGTTCGAAAACAGATCAGGCGGCATTGGGAGCCCTACGTTCCCACACTTGTTCATGCACCATCCACACCAGTGGCCTGTGCCCCTATCACGTGATGCGGGAGCACCTCAGCCTGATTCCAGACCATCCAGACCAATGGGTGTTCCCAACCGCGTCGAACGCTGCGGCCAGCAAGCGCGGTTGGGCGGATACCTTTGAGGCGCTTGCTGCGCGCCTTGGCCTCCCCACGCAGCACGGTTCATGGCCTCCCACAATATAGAATTCTGGAGGATTCAACTTTTTGGACGGTGGGGGTCGGATGTATTCATCCACTACATCCAGGACGCGCCATTGGCCCAGCTCGATCAGCTTGCCCTCGAGTCCAGCGCGGCTATGTCCGTTCAGAGGGCTCAGGAGCAGCTCAAGCTACTGCGCGAGAAGATTGCCCAATGTCGTGCCCCCCTTCATGTCGCCAGAGCCCGACATGTTGGAGGACTGTGCTGCCACAGCACCGCTGGCACAGCCCACGGACAACGTCCAGGGAGCCATTGTACAGAACACTGCGAGAGGTGGCAAGTTTCATTGCACCCTCATTTACAAATTAGATATCCATCCGAGGCAGTGGCGCACCCGGTGTGGTTGGCCATTCGGCCGGAACCAATCGGAATATGCGATTCAGCCTAATTTGGATGATATCTCCGACACCCAGAAGTGTGTCAAATGTTTTCCCAAGCCCACCCACCTAAGCACTGCACACCCCTCTGATACAGCAACGTCGACCGAATCCGACCAGCGCGATTCGGACGCAGGCGGGAATTAGTCTTTTTGCATGGTCGTTGGTCGTCGGTCAAGTGGCACCGTTTTGCCATCCTGGTTGTGGCCCAAAAGAGGTACA